ATATATACATATGTAGATATATACATATATTTTTATATTTATATATATGTACACACACAGTATTTGGAGTCTTATAATATGACAAGCAAAATTAAGAAACATTACCCGAAACAACTCCCAGCATGAGTCAGGTCAGTATAAACAAGGTGTTGCATACTTCTACACTGCTGTAGGGAAAAAACGTGCCGAGTACTTATGAGATATTAATAAGATTAATAGGTGTGTGATCTTGAAATTTCAAGTCAGCATTTAGCACCATTTCTATTTATTTTTCCAGAGCAGAGCTGAAATTTGAACTGTTGGTGCAACTATGCACATACACAACTATCTACACCTAAAAGAATTTAAAGTAGCTAAACTGTCAAAATGACTGCTAATAAGGTATAAATTATATAACTTGTTATTATGTCTAATTATCAGTTTAAACACTCTGACAAAAAATAAAGAATAAACCTTCTCTAATGCATGCCCATTTCTATACATGTACTTTCATAGAAGTATTAAAGTTGGTTTGTGTTTTCAATTCCTACCTGAATTCAACCTCAACAAGGCTTAATTCTTTCAAGTCTGCACTAAGTTCAAAAGCTCGCAGGATCGGATCCTCCTCTGTCAACATTATTAAAGCAGGACTGGCCAAACACCGATAAATGTCAAGACGAAACCTGTGACAAAACAATAGCAAGCAAAATGAAGATGTTTCATGTGATTAGCAGTTTCAAACCAGAACTTAGCCTAAAAGTTTGCATAAAACAGTCAGCTGAAAGACAAAACAATTGGTTTTCTTAAAATCAGACAGGAAAGCATTAAATGTAATACATCATGGAAGATACTGGCCTTCACATACTTTGAACACCTATTATTCTAAGTATCAAAAATTGGCCAAACTGGTTCTCTCTTTTTTCTTCTTTTCCTCACTACTTCAACTGTTATCAGTACATCAGCAGAAGGCCATCAGTTAAGGTAACAGTACTGGTAAAATTTTGACATTTTAAGTGTTGTACAGTAGCTCTTACGGTTCTTCAAGTGGAATAAGAGGGGGGAGTAAAGCATTTAAGGCAATCTTCTATTTTAACAAACTAAATTAAAAACAGTGGGGAGCTTTAATGTGCAATAAAAAAAAAAAAACTTCAGGGAAAGCATCTGAAGGGATGTTTTCTTCTTGCAAAACTAGTGACTCATGAACACTGAAACAAAGTCTGTTATCCATTCTAGTTTAAAGTAAGAGCTGTTATCTCAAACATTTCTATTGTTTGTTTGCTTGGGATACCCTGACACCTTTTCTCATTCTGAAGTTAATGACATGGGGTATCAGACGATACCGAATGTGGCCTGCAGTAGCTGAATACCAGTAACAATTATCCTTTCACTTCCCTTATTTTTTAGTAACTTGGATACATACTGGAGTAATTATGTAATAATTAATTGTATATTGTAATTGCAGTCCGCTTATGATCTTTGAGCTCTGTGATTTTTCACCCCAACTCTCACATATTAAATTGTATTCAACCCTAAAATACATTGTCAAGTTAACCAGACAAAGTATTAAGACTGGTAAATCCCTCTCCTCATTTGAACTTTTAATAAAAAGTTTTCTACTTTCAAAAATACTGAAGAAAAAAAGAAAAAAATTGTCTTCGGTTTGCAGTCATCAATCCATGCTACACACTTTTAGAAACAGGATACAGAATTATCCACCTCCTCATTCTGGCTCAAAAAACCCCAAGTATTAACTAACTAAAGAAAAATTTTATTTGCATAGTTCCTATGCTCCCAAGCCAAAGATAGCTAGAATGTTTGTGACACAACTGGTAGAAAGAAAAGGCACTTAGCTTCATATGCACAGTGACTAAGAGCATAAAACCAAAACGAAAAAAAAAAGCCACTGCCTCCCACCAGCCTTTTCAAGCACAACCAGTCCCAGAGAACTACCATCTCTCACAATAAAGGCTACAATATATTAAAGGAATCCATTCACAAACATCGCTTTAAAAAGAAAAAGGAAATACACTGAATCTGGCCCAAACAATACCAGAGAATTGTTTTGTTATTGTCTATGACTGGTAAGTCTTACCTGGAATGTCGCAGACTGTCTTTTTTGTTCTTTGCAGTACACAGTGTGCATTCACAGCCTACAGCATGAGGTTTGGGTAATGATATATCTTGCTTTAACAGCATGGTGAGAATTTCATAGTTGTTACGATGAGCAGCTAAAATGACAGGTGCCACATCCATGGTTGTTGAGTACTCTGGGTTCTGAATGCGTTCCATTAGTTTCTGGAATAAAATGTAGGAAGTATCTAAATTTATTACATACAGTTCTACTACAGTGTTTAAATGTAAGGGTTTTTTTGACTGTTCAACAACGAATTTCTCCTTCAAAATATTTTCCTATGTTTCGTAACATGAAAATAAGGAAAAATTTGTAACAACATTCAAACACCTCCCAGATAAATACTGGAAAAAGAAAAATGGACACAGAAATGTTTCTGGTTTACTTACATAGAAAACCTGACATTCAGTGCCTACCTTCTCCAACATACACGCATGATATTAAAAAGTATATTTTGTTCTAGTTTGAGAAAAAATTATATTTACTATCTAAGCACATAAAAAGTATCCTGACTATATCATGCTCTGTTACACAATGCCTTATTCCTTCCCTCCCTCCACCTCCACTTGTGAACTTTTAAAAGTTCTTTGATACTTAAGCATTGCCAAGATAAGTTTCAACTGTTTAATTTCAAGGTGAAGATTTGATGTTTATAGATTTGCTCAAAAAAAATCTACGAAGCTTCAACACACGAATATACCCATTATAGGTCAAGGCTGCTAATTACCTTGCAAACAGTCTACAAGAAAAGATTTATAACCACTCTATTTTTTTTCTCTTCTGGACTAACTAGGCATCTGTTAGCATTTGGCATGTATAAAGCCACTGGATTCCTTAGGCAGTAAAGCAAAATAATATATTCTATCCTTTAAGATAAAAGAGGCTATACAAATAATCCCTAATGTCCAGATTCTATCACCTTAGAGATGTAGAATTTAATTTAAGAACATTGTTTTAAATACTACAGTTACCCAGAATGCAATAGCCCCCACTCCCCAACCAAAAATCAAGGAATAACAGCACTGAACTACAATGGTTGGTCTGGAGGATCTTTTTGGTCGGTGATTAAGTAGAATGTCAACAGCTCCCACCACTTCCGAGTCAATAGCCACCAAAAGTGCATCTGATGACTAAGGAAAGAAAACAAGTCATGTGAAAACAGCAGTAACTTAAACAGCATAGTCAATCTGAAGCCAAACTGCATTTTTTTTTAATATACTATTTTTAAATTTATTTTGAAAGTACTAAAATGATGTTCTGTATTATCACCATGCATATGAACAGGACTCAAATTCAGGCTGTCACTCCAGGAGTTAGCACAGCATTACTGACAATTTGTTTTATTGCATAAACAGAAGAACCAACTGCAGAAATTACTTTCCAGCAAAGATGATGCAGGATACTTGCAAAAATCAAGTTCTAAGGGAGAGTTTACCAGGTTATTAAAAATGTTAAAAGGAAGTATCTGTGTAACACAACTCAGGCATATGGGATACTTAATACTGTGGTAAAGCTAGGAATATAAGGGTTTTTTTCCGGGCTGGTAACTGCTTCTGAAACTTCTCTTATGTTGAGCTAAGCAGCTTTTCATTTTCCCT